GTCGGAGGGTCCGGGACCGTGTGGCGCAGGGGAGGCCTGCCTGGGGTCGGGGGGAAGTGAGGGGTGCTAGGACAGCCGTTGCAGCAGCTCTAAACATAAACTGCGAAGTGCGGTGTCCTAGTCAAGGCTGCCAGCCTTCAGGCACACTTGGCGGGCTACCTGTGTGCTGTTTGACGTGTTGCGCCTGAGGATGGGCTTTGTACGTGCTCTCATTGCACGTTTTCTTGGGGGTTTGGTGGCACTTTGTAAGACAGTACAGATTTTCTTGATTAACTTACTCTATCCGATGTGATACAAAAATAGTACTAAATATTTTCTAATCACAGGGGAGGGTCTTTACAGTGATTCTGGTCTGTGATTTTCGATGTGACAGCTTTCTCTACCTACTGTTTATCGTACCTTAAGGATAGTTTAATGGTTAATATAGCGGGCAGTTGTAACATGGTGACTGCAATAATGTAAATAATCAGGCAAAATATGAAAGGAGGGTGCTGTCATGCATTTGAGATTGACCCATTTAATGTTGTTTCCAGTTGTTTCCTGGCTCCCATCCAAACCACAGAGTCGATCTTAACCAGTTCTAGGCGACTCCCCAGCCCTTATCAGGAACTACCCCCTTTGCAAGACTCTCTGCTTCAGTGAATTTACACAATAGATAAGCACTACCAGTTTTCTTTAAATGCATAGCAACTATAAGGCAATGCTACTTCTACTAAAATTCCTTTTAACCCCTTCCTTCAAGATGCCTTGCAGAGCTGTGACTATATTCGCAAACTGAGGGTCTGCCCTGTAGAGAAGCCTGAAGAACATTGTAATACTTTGTTTTATAAAACTCTGCAAGAAAGAGTTCTAATTCTCAGTCACTGGCCTTGAGCATCCACGTAGTAATAACCTGTTCTTGTTAATAAAAAATGAGCCAGATGAAATTATGTAGTGATCTAGGATCACATAGGCAAGGCCTTAGTATTATCACCGAAAATCCGGGAATAAACCTCGTAACACCAATGTGGTGTTAAAAGGCAGGCATTCTTTATTGCAGCGCTGGATGCACGGGGGATAATTCCACCGAAGGTGCATACCTCATACTTTTTCCATGCGGTTTATATAGATCAAAATTATACATATTTATTTTATTCATGCATATTCAGTATTATTCTCTTTGGCAATTGCTGTAAACTTTCTCACTTCCCATGTAAATTATTGCGCAGACTCAGTCACCCTCTTCTATGTTCCTTTTTGAGGAGGGGGGTGGGGTCGCGGGGGGTGGGTGGCCCCACCCCCCCCCTGCCGCAATTACCTTTTACCTGTTAGGCTCGTAATCTTGGCAATCCTGGTCAGTTTCTTCAGTCCACTTCACAAAACCACACTCCATCATTTCTCTTGACAGAAACACAATTACCTACTATTGTTAGCATTAATGTTTACCTAGAGAACAGACCCTCTGTTCCCAGACCTAATGTCCAGGTGGGTAGGGCTGTACCAGGAACATAGCAGCACTGTTCATGTTTATGGTTAACTGATTCTATCACCCTGTTTACAGTATTGTTCTCTTTCATTAACAGTTAGCAATTAAATAGAATGCAGATAAAACAGTTCACTTCTTTTTTATGTCCTTACAGTTCTGCTTTTTTGCCTAAAATGGCCAAGCAGAATTCTCCGTCACTAATTGAAGTTGTAAAACAAGTTGCAGAGCAGCAGCATTCACAAACGTCAGAGATAGAAAAATGCAAAACAGTTCTTTTCCAATTGCAGGTAA